CTCTGCTGGACCCTCTCTAGAAGCTCCACCTCCCTCTTAGACAATTATTATATTTACATTATCTCCCTCCACATCTGGCTGGGCCTTCAGACCACCCGACGGCCTCCTCATCCTCGCCTTAGCTCAGACCATTCCAACAGCTCTCTGCGTTATCCCGTGGCCGTCGCGCCCCATCAGCAGCCCCATCACAACCCGCGCTGAGCTCAGCAACAATCCGTGTCGGGACCCGATGCTGACTCCGCTTCCAGGAATATGAACCTGGCAGCTGCTCTCGTTTGGTTTTTGCCCTGTTGCAAGAGCCGGGATGGAGCAACGTCAGCGGCGCGGTGGCCTGGGCTCTGCTGGGTTCCTCTTCCACAGTTACACAAGCTCCTCACCAGAGAGAGACTTAAAAGGTGGCCTTGCTGTTTGACTCCATCACGTCAAAAAAATCCATATATCTATAGTTTACTTGGAATGAAATTGTACAGAATTGTGGGCAACCTGCTCTAGGTGACCCTGCTTGAGCAAGGTCAAGGTGATCCCCAAAGGCCGCTTCCAACCTCAACTCTTCTCTACAATTGCAGTATTTTTGGTCCACACCTGGTTCTTTTGAGAGAACTGGGATGGAGGGGGATACACAGAAAGTGGGATGTTCTGTCCCAAAATAGTCCCTTGATCCTGGGGAAGTCCCCACCAATGGCAGAGCCCCACAGCTCTCACGTCCAGCTGCATATCGAGGGCATCAACACCAGATCTTCCTCCAAGCTTTGCCAAATCAGCATTTAAGCTGRTTTATAGCACCAGGGCTATAAATCCACTGGGATTAGGCCTGCGGGAACCAAAGTGAACCCATCAAACACTCCTTGAGTATCTCCAACTCAGTCACTGGGGTCTTACAGGGTTCCTGGCATTCTGGGACCAGCACAGGGTGGCCTGAAGCTGCTTTGTCACCAAACTGTGGCCTCTGAAGGCCTCCTRGCACCTTCATGGCCAAGCAAGTCATCATCTGGCCCTGCTTCTGCTCTCCTGCTCAAAAAGGCTGCTCAGACCCTCTCACTGAAGCTTCTGGAAGTTCAAGCACTCAACAGCTTCCCTTGGTGTCTCCCAGGAGGAATTCTCCTCCTTTTGGTTCTTCCTTTCTGGAATCAGAACGTGCTGGCTGGTTGAGCGCTGCCTTCCAGCTCTAATATCCCCCCTATCCCCTCRTGTTCTTCAGCCTCAGTCCCCTCATCGTCACTTCCCACCCTTTGCCGCTCACTTGTGCAGAGCGGCCGTTCCTTCTTCTTAAGAAGGAGGAAGCAGCTGGAATTTTGGCCATCTCTTTTCTGAGAAAAACACCGATTCTTCTCTTTTAAAGCCAACTCCACTGGTTCCATGGAAGCTGAACACCTGGGATGTTAAACAAAAAGAAGCAGAAAAGCACCCAAGAAACCAAGACATGAGCTAAACCACGGAATTAAGAACCGAGTAACTTCTAAAAACACCAGAGCTCTGCTTTTAAATTCTCCCTTTCTCCTGGCTCATCATCCAGGTCTTCTTAGTAAATTAATCCCAAATTAATCCGAGGTTGTTGCTGCTTTCTGTGCATGCCGGAGGCCTCTCGCCTGAGCATGGTGGTGCCCGCAGAGCCCTGACTCCATCGCCAGGAGGGATGAAGAGGAGGGAGGCCCCACGTTTCAGAGGAATTCATTAGTCCAGGCGTTTTGTTCAGGACGCGGAGGTGAAACTGGGCAAGAAAACAAGACAAATAGCTGCGCTACGGGATTTAAAAAAGCTGCTGTCAGCGCAAAAAGACCTGGAAATCCATTTGTCTTTCCTTAAACAATGGAAAAAGCAGCAGCAATTACAGGAGACAAAACCAATTCCCCGGGAGCAGGGGCAAGCGCGCTCGGATTTGCATGGGAACACAGGAACCTAAACAAACAGACTCCATTAAAACCAGGGAAAATCCAGGGCTGGAACACAAATCATTTTGGAAGCGGAGGGCGCTGTGCAGGCAACCTGCTAATGGCTGGATTTATTCTGGATTTATTTTGGATTTATCTTCCAGGTAGATCTTCCTCCACGTCGCTTTACGAGCAGGGAATGGAATGGAGTTTCAGGCCGGTGAAACTGCAGATTTGCTGGATCGTACCTAATGATTAGAGCAAGGAACTCAGGAGATGAGCGAGGACCAACAGTCTCCTCCACCCAAGTGTCCTGTCCTGGAGCAGAAATGGTCATGGTGAACATGAGAAGATACTCAACCCCAAACCTGCAAAGTTATTTCCATTTGCAGCGAATGTCGGGATATTTTTGTCTGGAATGATACAGTTAGGTGCAAAAAGAACCAGCTGGAGGAAAGAGGCTCTGGCTCTTAGGCTGAAGCTGGAGCAGGTGGAAGAGGAAGCAAAAACGAGGCTGCACGTTGACCTTGCCCACACAGCAACGTCCCATGTGGACCTGAAACAAGACTCTAAGCTCAACATTTTATCAGGAATGGGGACAAGGCCACGGCCCAACCTCCTTTCACACGGGCGCTTCAGAGCATCTGATCCTAAGCCCTGACCTGCAATGAGACTGTTGAGTCTCAACGGGGGTTCCACAAGCAACAACCTCAAGCGCTACTGGAGATGGGAGCTCCTCTGTGTCCCACCAAGTTGTCCAAGGGGCTTCAGATCAATCGGAGCAGCAACCGTGGCCTCTGCAGCCCCCACCAAGTCCATGGCCCTTGATGTCTAGAAGACTTCAGGCTCACTTAGACGCCCTTTGCTCGAGGAGCTTGCACAGAGCAGTAGATGGAAAGGGGTCATGGATGAAATGGGGCCCAAACTTGGCCATCCCTCTCCATTAGCTTCCAAGGAAAGCATGTGCCTRGATAGAGAACCTGGTGAGGGCCCAGCGCAAGGAATGCTCTCCACAATTCCCTAGGAGAAACTTCCATTTGATGTCCCGCTGCTTCTGCAGCTTGGGCTGCTGCAGATAAAAATAATTTCAGGGTGAATTTCTGGAAAATGAAGCGAGGAAAAAGGATGGGAGACTCTGAGGCTTCTCCGGGGTCTCAGCATGATGTGGTACATTAGACTGCAGAGCAGCCTGGTCCTCCAAGCACAGCGGAGATGCGGGAAAAATAACAGGGAAGGGGGGATTTATCACGGGAAGAGGCTGCGGGAGGTCGAGGGGGAAAATAAAACGATGGGAGTTCGGCGTGAACGCTGGAAATGAAAGATTAAAGATCAAACCTGGTACCGCAGCGATGTCCAGGGCTGCACCGAGGATACTGAGCAATTATGGGGACAAGTCCATTTTTCACCTAATTTTGCTTCTAACATAAATTATCACCTCGAAGGGAGGCTCCTTTCAGCATCTGCATAAGGGTCGTCCCGAGCAGGAGATCCAAACTGCACCATAAAAGAGCAGGGCACGAAAATGACACCCCCAAAACCTCCTTTACAGCCTTAGCTCAGTTACACTTACATATATAGCCTACTAATACATATATTATATATMAATATATCCCCCTCAGCCCTGAGCCCCGAGCACATCTTCTCACGACCTTTTCCCCTGCGCTCCTTAGTGCTTCCCAGTGCTCTTTACCTCCCAAATKCACATCTTTACACCACAGCAACCCCACAAATTTAGTTCCACCTTTTTTTTTTTCCTTTTTTTATTATTCAACTTTTTATACATAATAAATACAAACTTTTTACAGCCAATATAAAGAAAGCATTCGCACCTATGCTTTCAGTGTACTGACGCTGTACACGATGAGACGTCCAATACATGCCCTGTATGAAGAAATCATAGTTAAAAAGGAGGCATATTTTTACAACTTTACTTCTTCTTTTTTTTTTTCTTTTTAAATAAAATTAGCAGCTCTTACAGAAAATATTTTAAAATACAACTAAAGAGACTTATTAAATAACACTTTCTGAATTTTGAAAGTCCGGGTGTGAAGGACACGGAAAAACTGGCCAAAGAAATCGGACGTGAACGTTATGGCAACGCTTGAGTTTTCTTCCGCACGCCGAAGCCTGTGCAGAAATTCTTAAATCTTTCCAAAAACGTTTTTTTTTTCCTTTTTTTTTTTTCTTTAAACTTAAGAACAAGTTTGATAAACACATAAAAAGACCTCGAACAGATCAACAGGACGAGAGGTGCAAAAGGATGAAGAAGACGGACACGGCGCTTCGCTGACGGATCCCGCTGGGAAGGAGCTTGGCAGATGCTGCTGGTTCGGCGGCCCAGCCCGCGTTGGGATTTCCAGGTTTATGTGCAAAGTTTATGATAAAAAATCCTGATAGATGATTTTTTTTTTGTAAATGCAGCCTCAAAAATAGCCCTTGTTAGTAAACTAAAGGTAGAAAATGCACTGGCTTAGGAAAACGAACAACAGAAAAAGAGATGAACACGTAAGAGCGTTCAAAATAACCCATATAACAGCTGAAAGAACCAGCAGATCTGTGGTGCTTTTTAATTGAAGCTTTGATCCGACACTATTCTGAGAATAACTTAGTGATCACACATAGAGAAACCTGCTGCTGCTTCTCCCCTCTCCTCTGACCATCGTTCTTCTTGTTACGCCGCCGAAAACCCTCTTCCCTCTTCTGTTAAATGAACAAAAAATATGTTTTTTTTTTCTCAGAGATCTCCAATGTAAGATTAGCTTGGAAATTCTTATGCTCCCTATTTCTCAGCTAGGAGTAACTTGAGAGCGAGTTACCTTCCTCTTGGCCACCGAGGTGGCCCAAGGGCTTGGAAGAAACCAGAGATTTTCTTGCTTCCCTGGATTTGGCTCTTCCGTGGGTTCCGCATGGGGAAAACGCTACGGGATCATCCAATGCCCAAACTATCTAATGCACATAAATAGTCTAAATGCAACTTCTAACTCTAGCCAGATGGGCAGATGACAAAGATATACTGCTAGTGTTGGATAATAAAAGTACACGGCAATAAGTGGGGTAAGAGTGACCCGAGTACTTTAAAAAAAAAAAAAAAAAAAAAGCCAAAATCTGGGAAAAAAAAAAAAAAAAAAAAAAAAAAAAAGAAGCTCAATTTCCAGATCTAGACAAAAATCTCACTTACTTTTTCTACCAGTTGGTTTACGCTATGGAACAAGATGTTGCTACTAGCTCAGCACCTCCGTATTAGATACTCTATCACTAAATGTACTGCATAAATATTAATACAAAGAACATTTAGTTCTGCTTAACGGGTAATCACCGACGAGGTGTGCATTAATGTAATCAACGCCATATGATCCGCATCGCTTTTCCTTATCCGATTATGTTCCTTTTTCTTCCTTCTTCGGGGGGATTCAAGAGGAGCCAGCCTCTCCTTATACTCCTTATACTCCAGTTCCCTTTTTTTTTCATTCCCTAAGATCTGATTAATACCTAATCAGACAAGTAATGCTACTCCAAGGATTGACAATCTTTAACACATTCCTATGGCAACAGTAATATACTGTACTAATGCACGTGATATAATATGCTAGGACTACGTTGCATGGGGGAGGCTCTTCCCGAAGCCTCCATATAAAAAATGACCGTGTCCAGCCCGGAGAGGAACCCGCTCCGAGGCGACTCTCCGCTCGCTGTTTGGCCCATCTTGGTTTGTGCTAAGAGAGGAAGAATGATCGATAGAAATCAGCTCAAATCAGAACGACAACAACAACGAAAAAAAAAAGGCACGGAATAGCCATGACCGTGGGAAGGAGGCCACCATGTCAGCGTCACATCAAATCCTCCCGGATGTCTCGCTCTGGGAAAAGTCTTCGGCATGCAAAGGTGCCTCCAAACGACGTSGAGCCACCACCGCCCTTGGCCTTGGCTGGAGGCGGGCACTCACACCAGGGTGATTTCCACGTCCTCGATCTTCTCCGCGGGCCGCCGGTGGTGCTGCGTGGGGGGCGGCGGGGCTGCTCGCACCTGCAGGGGCCACAACCAGCACGGAGCCATGAGAAAACGCTCCAGGTTTCCCAGCGTTCCCCAACGTCATTAGACCGTGGGGAAGCGCCGCGAGATGCTGCCTGCGGGGATTGTTTTAAGATTAAATGCCACTATATGGAGGAAAATCAGCTATTTATGCTGCAAGGAAAACAGCCAGCGGGTAAAGCAAGAAGGATCTTTGGATACTACATGGAGTGTTGGAAGCTGAGGCCACCTTTGCCCTGATCTCAGGTGGTCTGGAGGCCACCAGCAGGAGCACCTCGATGTGMAGAGCAGGGTGTGTATGGGATCCATCGCTGTCCTCGGGGACATGGATCTGAAACGTGACGCTCTTTCCATGCTCCGACACACGCACGGAGGTTTTCGGGCTCCTGCTGGAGCTTGGCCTCGAGCTGCAGCGTTTTTGGGATGTTTGCAGGAGACGCCGCAGCGCCTCGCCAGGAAAAACAGCCCCTGCCGAGGATGAAACGGCCGCGCGCGCCCAGCCGGAGCTGCCGCTTCCAGCGGGATCCCAGCAGSATCCCAGCAAACGCCACGGGAGGGTTTTTAAGCCGGAATAAGTGAATGTGCAACTGGCTCTGATCAACGCTTCGTGACGCAGCCCTGTCTCTGCCTTGTGGATTTGCATGGATAAGGTCAACGCGGGGGTGTTTTGCACGTAAAGGCAGCGAAACCCACGGGCTCCTCCGATGGGACCACGAGGGGTTCAGGTGCAGGGACACAAAATCCTGCTCGGAAAGTGGTTCACGTGCAGGGACACAAAATCCTGCTCGGAAAGTGGTTCACGTGCAGGGACACAAAATCCTGCTCGGAAGGTCAGTCAGACAAGTGCTGTCACATGTGCCACAAGGCTAAGGAGGGCAACATGAAAAGCAAGTGCTTCCTGCAGCATTGCTATTCCTTGAGAACACCAGGAAATTACAGCTGTTAAACCTCGGTGTGATTTGATTTAGGACTCTGAAATCCCCAGAAAGGCATTTTAAAATTAACCCTGGTGGGCTGGACTGGGAAAGTGCTAACCCATCAAAAATTTTCCTTCCTTTTTCTTTTTTTTTTTTTTTGGGCAAAATCTCTCCTTTCAGGCAGCAAAGACCTCACGGAACACTGGATCTTATCACTGAGTTTAATCTGTGATGCTCTGAGGCCCGAGGATCCTCCTTTCAGCCCAACTGCTGGCAAGTGGAGCTGTCCCCAACGCCCTGTGTGTCCAGCAGCACAAAGAGCTGCACGAATCGTGTGATCAAACTGCTCTAGCATTTATTTAATGCTTCTTTCTTACTTCTCTTTAGGGGATATTAAGGTGTTTATGCCTCTTTAAGGTAGGTAAGAAGAGAATCTCCCAATGCTTGAAGAAAACAAGGCAAGATTGGCACCCAAAGGCTCTTCTGACCTGGCAGCAGAGATGTAAAAATGTCCCTCCTGGTTACATTTCCTGATTCCTGTGCCTCACGCAGAGACACAGGGATATTAAAGCTATCAAGGTAGATAAATGCAGGCAGGGTAGAGAAAAGGACAGGGAGCAGAGGAGATTCAAGGGCACCTTTAACATGACGACTTGCTGCTCAGCTGCATTATCAGGTGCCGCATCAGCAGCACTGCCCGGCTCGTGGCATTCCCATCCGGATTCCCCCGGGATGGGGACGGAGATGCCCCCTGGCACTGCAGAACTAGCCAGCACTGCGGTGCTCCCAACTTACCGGCCGCAGTTTCCCATAGGAGCTCTCAGGAGGGAGTCGTGGAGGCTGCGAGAAGCCGGGGCACTCCGAACTGAAGCTGTTTTCTGAAAGATGAACCAGAAAAACCCTGTTGGCTCTTGCTGTGTTAGCCTTACACTGCAAAAAATCCCCTTTTTTCCCTTAGGAAATGTGGAAAATCTGAATTAAACATACAGCTGGTGTGTTTATCAGTGCAGTTTTTCTYACCGTTGGTGGAGGGCGACCTGGGGAAGAACTGGGAGCCTCTTTTGTCGGGACTGTGGTAGGGGCTCGTGGGCGGCTGGTCGTAGAGCGGCAGCGGCGGCAGCGTGTTGTTCGGCTTGGGCGTTGGGGAAACCTGGGTTAAAAAGAGGGAGCTGCTCCAAAAACCTGCGCTCCTTAGCAGGTTTTCCCACCACMCCAAGAGGAAACGAGTTACCCGACATTATCCCACATATTTCTAGGCCACTAGTGAAAAGCTGTCAGGGAAAAATTGCTCTTGGGGATGTTTGAGAGAGAAAGTCAAGACACCCAACAGGGATGGTGGTTTTTTCTTCAATCACGGGTTGCTACTGAGCAAATCTTCATCTTTTCCCAGGGATAATTTAGAGGGACTTCTTGAAGGTTATCCCAAACTGGTCATTTGGCCAAGATTGCCCCTCCGTGTACGGTCATGCCAAAAAACGCTCAGCTCGTGAGTTTTATCCCAACGGGAGTGCAGAGGTGCTATTTAAATACTAAGAGAAATGCAACAGTGTCGGGAGCCTCACACATGAGCCTGTAATTCTGCACCACTRCGGGATATAAGGTTTTAAAAATTGGAGGACACTGCAATAGAAGAAGGGACCATTAACAGAATATCCTATTCTGCCCTTCAAAGAACAGGAAGACAAAGSATAAAGTATAAAAATATTAAATTAGGATTAAAAGAGCCTATTGATCTCTTTTTGCCAGGTTCTGCTTGGTCTCTCAGTCTACGCCTTAAATTAATTCTAGGGATTATTGTGAATTTTCTCCTTTGGTTCATTTCCTTTCTGCCCAACCACTTTCTTCTATTAACAGACCTGTTACGTTTGCCAAAATACAGCACTGGGTAATTATTAGGCCTAAGAAACTACAAAATAAACGTTCATGATATTTTCTTCTTAAACTTGTTCTGATTGTTTTTCCCCCAAGAGGAGGCAGATCTTTGCAGCCTTGCAAAGCCTCCCAATTTCTTTGTTATTTAATATCACATTTTCATCACATCCTACTACATTAATAACCAGAGAAGAAGAYGGAGTTTGTTAAAGCTCATTGAAAAGGGTCGGCCTCCCGAAATTAGGTTTCTTACAGGAAAGGGGTCCAACAAATTGGGCCATGGACATGTTTTTCACACACCTGAATATCTCCAATCCACTGAGTCTCTCCGTTTTCTGCCGCTGTCAGTTCTTCAACTAGTACAGAGGGGAACACCCCAACACGCCCGTTGAATTCCCCTTCCCAAAAGCCGTCGTCATCCTGATTCTCCTTGTTCAAGATGCGGATGATGGCTCCTTCGGGGAAGGACAGCTCATCGTCCGTCTGGCCCTCGTAATCATAAAGTGCTTTTACAAAACAGACTGAGGGGAGGGAGAGAGAAGAAAGCAAAAATCGTGTAAGTTTAGGAAAAAAAATGAGTCCTACATATAATCACTCACTCATAATATTTCAGTTTCCTTTTAGTTTCCTTGAACTCAGCTCAATTCTGTGAGATATCCAGCTAAACTACAGAAATTTATAGATAAACTGCAGAAATTGGTATAGAAATATATAGAAATTTATTATCTCCTGTATAGGAGATACAGGACAAATGAGAAGAGTTGCCCTCAGATTCACACCAAACACAAGAGATCCTCATGCACGACCTTCAAACCCAACCTAGAAGATTGTTCCATGACCAAATTTAATGGATGATTTAATGGCATTTACCGCTGGAGTCTCCGTTTAGGTTGCCCGAGACTAGGTCRGCCTCAGTTGAGTTATTTGAGGTGTGGGACCGACTATCCAGCGCCGCGAGGGACTGCAGCATGCTCAGCAGGCTGCTGGACGTTGGGAACTGCAGGTACTTCTCCGGAACGTAACCCACTTGTCCCGCTTTATTTCGTGCCTGTAAGTAAAGACATAAAAAAAGACTCTGCTTTTGAGTTCTTCCACTTCTTCTAGAACTTCCCCTAGGTTCTTCTAGAAGAACCTTCTAGAGGAAGGGTTATTCCTCTAGAATGAGCCAGATGGATTTTCCTTCTCCCAGGTTCTCTTGCTGAATGGAATGGTGAAGAGGAACTGAGTTCAGAAAACAATACCTTCACCCAGTCTTCCATATCTCCATCTTCAATAACCTCCAACACCTCGTGTTCTTCTATGGTCAGTTCGTCTGGCTGGGAAGCCTGGAGAGGGTAAGAGGAAGATGACAGGAGAAAAGTGTTGTCAGGTGCCAGGGCCAGCCAGGTCCAGCAGCATCAYCAACCTCACAGTCACAGAATGGTTGAGGTTGGAAGGGACCTCTAGGATCATCTAGTCCAACCTTCCTGCTCAAGCAGGGAAACCCAGAGCATGTGGCACAGGGTGGCATCCAGGTGCATTTTGAAGACCTCCAAGGAAGRAGACTCCACAACCTCCCTGGGCAGCCTGTTCCACTGCTCTGTCACCCTCACAGKAAAGAAGTTCTTCCTCACATGGAGGTGGAACTTCCTGTGTTGCAACCTGCACCCACTGCCCCTTGTCCTGTCACCGGCCACCACTGAGAAGAGTTTGGCCCTTTCTCCCTACATTCCCCTTCGTGTACTTAGACATATTAATCCTATCTCCTCTCAGCCTTCTCTTCTCCAAGCTAAACAGGCCCAACTCAATCTCTCCTCATACGAGAGATGTTCCAGGCCCTTAATCATCTTGGTTGCCCAGTTCTTGAACGCAACCACGAACCTTATAGGAATAAACRACTTTGCAGGTCAGAGGGTAATTCCTCAGGGTACCCGAAGGACTAGAGCTGCTGTCGTCATAGACATCCATGCTGTCCTCAAACTCTTCGCCTTCTTCCTTCTCTGCATCGGCATTAATCTGTTCAAAACACAGGTAAATTGCTATATTATAAAGTAAGAATCACTTAAGAGACCAAAACAGACATAAAACAGAAGACAATGCAATGAATTTTATTTTTTTTCTCTAAAAAGTAAAAGAGGAAACCATCACTAAGCAGCATCGACCATATGATTCCCAAGCAACATCAGGAGAGCAGGGAAATAAACACGTGGAAGAATCCCTGCTGTGATCCACGCAGGTCTTAATTCAACTGAATTTCTTAATTGAAGAATAGGTGCTTGTGTTCTAAATACCTCATTGTAAAAAAAAAGCTACTGGAAGCTACAGCTTAACTGCTGGATGGTCATATATATATATTTTTTACACAAGAACTGAAACAGTCCTAATGCTCTTGGAGGATGTTACTTAGTTTGAAGCATATAGTTTGAAAAAGAGGCACATATAGAGGATTTCTGCTATTAAAAGACTGGTGCATTCATGAGCTGCAACATGAAGCTGCAGGGAAATACCTGGGGGGAAAAACATCAGCTCCCATCTGCTGTAGTCTGCACCACAGACTTGCTGCAGTTTATAGGAAAAAAAAATTCTTTAGGGAAAGAATTACGATTYGAAACTGGCTATAAAAGTCTAAATAAAAGCTGAAGTCAATCTGCTGGGAAAATACAAGTTCTTATAAATGCAGCTTGGGCAACGTTGACGTGGGCTGTTACTTTGGCCCCGTGCCTGGATGAAATTTTGAATAAACATTTTATCTCCCGTGAAAACAGGCAAGCCCTTCAAACCAAAGGGAAGCCTGCCATGCATTTGCTACCTTCCCAGGATTTTTTCCTTATAATTTGCAGATCTTCATGAAAAGTGCACGGCTGATAAACGGAGAGGGAGACGGGCTGAGAGCAGATCTCCATCCTCAGCAAACCACCTTGCTCTTCTTCTGGGGCAGAACAGCACAAAACTTAACAATTTTCTGGTATCAATTCATTTTTAAGTTGTAATTTCATGATAGAGGAGGAAAAATATGCCTTTCAATTTTCAATCGAAATTCAGTTCAATTTTCAATGGAATTGAACTGAATTTCAATTTTGGGGCTGCTCCGAAACGTCTTTCCGTGGCTYCATTTGCAAAGTGGCGCATAGGGAGAGGCAGAGCAGTGTCAAGGATATGGAAAAGGGAGCAGTTTGTTCCACAAAGCTCCTCTTTCCATGTGTGCTCGGGTGCCGAGAGGGACGTTAAGGGCAGGATAAGGCCATGGGCCACAATGATACCCAAAGAAGAAGAAAAAAAGGAATAACAGCAATGAGATAGCTCCGTTAAGTGTAGGAAGGAGATGTAAATACAGTATTTACACTATATATTACCATTTATAYTATGTTTATATATTTACCTCATTTGTAATCTCCCTGTTATTTTTTGATTTTCATCTCCTACTCATATTTATGTCATTTATCTTGCAGATAAATGATATCCCCATCCGCACTGAGACCATGGGGACACCAAACCCCACGGTGCCACTGAAGCTCCTCCGTCCCCATTGGGCTGCAGGAGCTACAGGAGGTTAAAGTCCCCGGGCTGTCCCTGGCTGGGGCAGCTGCTGACGTGACCACAATTCCTCTGCTGCCATCGGATGCCACCCGGAGCCGTAACCTAAGAGCTGCAGGAAACTCTCCCCTTTCAGAGTCRCATCCAGTTGCACGTTCCCAGCGAAGGTACCTGCTGCAAACATTATTTAGAGCTTTGTGAGCACCACACACTCATTATTTACTGATTATTACTTAAAGTCTTGGTTACTACAAACTGTAATGACACTGCTCTCTCCTCCTATTTGAAGGAATTATATAATAATCTCCATATATTTGTTGTCCCTCAGGCCACATAAAGGTTTCCCAATTACGTTAAAACATACCAGGACAGCTGCAGGAATTCAAAAGGAATTGGTAACTTGTTTTGGCACCTAGAGTGGAAWAAGAACTGCGCTCCCTCCCAAGATGAGGCATTTCAGAATTGTTATTATATCATCATTATATCACAGGTGATGATATAACCATCTATAACAGCTGGGTCCGTGGTGGGATGCTGATTCCTTCAGCTCGTTGCGTTAGTGCAACGGGCCAAGTAAAGACACAGATCAAGCCCTCCGGCCGCTTCCTTATTTCAAGCTCATCCAAAGAAAACACAGTAAGTTTTGCATTGGGTTTGGCTCCGGGGCCAAGCGTTGGCGGCTCTGGTGGGACGGAGAACACGGCGTTGGGAAGGAACCAACAGGAAGCTGAAGGAAGTGCAACAGGAGAAGAGAGGAGGGAAGAAAAACACATAGAAAACACAGCTATGGAGCATATCCTCCTCTCTCAGGTCTAGAAAGGACTGAAGATGAACCACAGACCAAGAATTCCTYGGGGCTTGGTGAAGTATGAAACTTGGATCCACTTTAACCTCTAATTATGCTATTTTCCATGGGATGAAGCCTCCAGAGATGGGCTACGAAGAGCAGTGATTGCAACAATCTCTACTATAAATCACCATCCACAGGTTAGCTCTGGGACTAACATCCCAGAAGAAACATCCTGAGCAGAAGAAAGCAAAGAGGGGTCTCGGGAAGCGTCTGTGGAGTCTGAAGCTCTTACGAAGTTCAGCTGACAGGGATGGAAAAAACTACATTCAAAGAGGACTTGCCCTGTAAGGGTTTGTTGGAAAAACCCTTACCCTTACCCATTACTAGGAAAGGATTTATTTCCAATAAAATATGGAAATACATGAGAACGAGCAGGATTTTGGGGGTGAGAATCCTTGCTGAAAAGGGCATTTTCTTCCTTCGAGGTGRTCACCCAAAGACTTTCTCCAAGTGTTTGTGACACCATAAGAAGCCACCATTCCTTGGAAATTTGGGTGTCACTTAAGATTTACTGTTTCTGCCTCAGAGGCGCCTGACAAAAGCACTAAAACAAAGCACAAATCCAGTAATTTTAGCCAAGGATGAAGCCCATGAGAAAGAAGGTCTCTATGTGCAGACCAGGAGCCTTGGGATGTGGCTGAGCGCTCGGCCACGCGCTCAGCACAGCCCCAAAAACCTGCACTTTGCAGCAGCCATTTGAGTTTTGTTGGCTCCTAGGGAAGAGCAACACCTCGGGTGGTTCTTCCTGCCAAAGGTGRCAGCTCGGCGTTGCACACTGGCAAGAAAAAAGCTACAAAAAAAGGGCTTTTTTAGTACTTCCTGTTTTTTTGCATAGGATTTCTTGCTCCGGGCAGCTGTTGATTCAGCTCGTGGTGTTTGTTTTGAAAGAGCTCATTCTTTGGGAGCTGGGCAGGGAGGGGGAAGCTGTTTTTTTTTTGCTATGAATCACATAAAAATGCGCTTTCCTCAAAGCTAAGCACTGCTGGGAATGCTCCCCGGGCTACACACGGGCTGGTTTTGCCCATCAGCATTAAAAACACGAGGAGGTCCCTGTGCAAGCGACTATCAAACCCAGCACCCATTTTATTCCGATCTAGGCTGGGTTTCAGGTCACTTYGACACCCATTGGAGGAAATTTTAAGTTAAACTAGTTTATTCATGCAGGAAAAAGATGAGGTGCATGCAAATATGCCCTGTACCTCATATAGCCGGGCAGTAATTTGCAGGAGAATAGTGGGAATTCCAGTGGGAATGTGAAACTGGGATAATTTTTTGGAAGGAAATCAGCCTAATCTAATATCAGCCACATAACTGGACTGCCTGTTTTTCAGTGACTGATATTTAAGGCTTAGTTTTCCTGCAGACTTTCACTGCAATCTGCTTCTGAAATACATAGKCTTTGTAAAAATAATGGAGTATGTGTTTTTCTAGACGTTTGGGGAAAAAAAAAGTGTTTTTCATCCAAATAGTCCAGTTAACACTGTAAACTATTAATGAGTTGTCCAAGATTGAACAAATTCAAAGGAATATGCAGACATTCTGCTTTTGGGGCAATGGCAAAATCAATGTCACAGCACTTACCCTTAACACTTACTTAAAGCAATTCCAGCACCCAGAAATCCTATTTACCCATTTTCTGCATTAAATTGAGACAACTCTGCTCTTCTTTCTGCACTGGGTAAGTTGGGCCACCAGGAGCCTCTTCCCATTAGCTACTGGACAACAATCAATGATAGATTTTGGTTCTGAGCTGATGTTCAGGGCAGAGCCCCGGGGCCACAGACAGGAGGGTCTAACACATGGGCACGGTACCAGGTGCGAGGAGCCGTTGTTGGTCACGGAGGGCAGGCTGGCCCAGCGCTCGTTCTCCAGCTCCTCCATCACTTGGTTCATGGCACTTTTGAGCCACGTGTCCACCGAGACGCCGATCTGCTTCAGCAGGTCCAGCCGCGCTTCTGCTTTCAGCTTGATAATCTGTGGAGGTAAAAACACAGAATCATAGAGTCACAGAGTTCTTACGGTTGGAAGGGACCTCTAGGAATCATCTAGTCCAGCCCCCTGCACATGCAGGGTCACCTAGAGCAAGTGACACAGGCTGCATCCAAGTGGGTTTTAAAGATCTCCAGAGAAGGAGACTCCACAGCTCTCTGGGCAGCCTGTGACAGGGCTCTGGCACCGTCACTGTTAAGMAATTTCTCCTTAAGTTCCTGCAGAACTTTTGGTGCTTCAATTTGTGGCCAGTTCCTCTAGACCTATCAGTGGCCACCAGTGCAAAGGGGCCACCCCATCCTCCTCACTGCCTTCCTTAAGGTGTCTATAGACACTGATCAGGTCCCCCCCTCAGCCTTCTCTTCTCCAGGCTGAACAGGCCCAGCTCTCTCAGCCTTTGCTCATATGGCAGATGTTCCAGGCCCCTGATCATCCTGGTAGCCCTGCGCTGGACTCTCTCCAGCAGCTCCACATCCATCTTGTACTGGGGAGCCCAGARCTGGACACAGTCTCCAGATGTGGCCTCACCAGGGCTGAGCAGAGGGGTATAATCCCCTCTCTTGACCTGCTAGAGACCCTCTCAAATGTCACCACGATGAAGAAACCAGGTTTCCAATCCCCCCAAGGCGGGACGAGGAGGGAAGACCACGCGAGTTCCCCAAAGCCGCACAGTGAGTCACCGACACGGGCAACAACAGGAACACGCCAGAGCGCCTGTAGTTGTGCCCGTGCTTCCTTTCACAGCATTGTGTACTTTTTAAATGACTTTGCACTTTATTATCATCACTTTTATTTTCAGAAGTCAGCAGGCAAATGGGAAACCTGAGCTGCAACTCGAAGGCAGCTGAATTATGCACGCGTAGGCACATTTTGCCTTAAAAATAATGGTTAGTGTGACTTGAAACCTGTTTTACAAATGGAAAATATTTGAACTTCTGTTATTTATAGTCTGCTTAGAATAAAGTGATTTCTGAAGGGTTGATCAACACCTAAAGGTGAGAATTCAGGTCAGATAAATCCCTGGCTGGGCATGGTCGTGTGCTCCTGCTCTCCCGTGTAATTAGGTCCTGGAGACCAACRGATGGGAGGAATCTGCCCAGTATTTCCCATGGGAAAGGTCGCAGCCCACTCATGCAGGAGAAGTTCCCACTTCTCCATTCAAGCAGTCAGCAGCTGAGTGACTGATTTGCTCTCAAATACCAGTCCTACAACTGAGAAAAGAGGAAAATCACATGAAATATCTTCCTATGTCCCACACTAACCAAGCCTGGGGCTTTAAAAGACAGAATATATCCAAAGCTTGGCCCATGCATCAGTGTTTATGGTCAGACCCTTCACCATTCATGTGTCCCCGTCTCCACCTCAAACGCTGCAGACACATAGGGAGGCGACACAGTGAAACCCTTGGCTGTGAGAAAGCCCCTCAGCAAAAACTCAGGCCAGAGCTYTGAATTCGGGGTGCCCAAGGACCCCCTCTGTTCACACATTGCACCCTTCACGTTCAACAAATGTTTCTTCTGAACCACCAGGGCTTTGAGTTTCATTCTATCGCAGGCAAACCTAGAAGCACTCGCTGYGTTGGGTGAGACCTACACTTGAAGCGTTTGAAACGCCACTTATGAGCACAGATATGTGTTTTACTTCAATAATTATGCTGGTAGAGCGGGGTTAACACTTTCCTACCTATAAGAGAAAATGGAAGCCTGAGGAAATAAGGGTTTCTGCTAATGGCAGATCATGTAGAAGCTCTGCTCTATGTGCTGCTCTTAATCCTGTGCCCAAATGCAAGGCACAAGGATTTGTGCTTTCCATAGCCAAAGTCCAGACTTGCTCGGATGGAAATCTGCCTTGCAAAAAGAAATGGACATCGCTTGAACTTGCTCATCTTCTCCTTTCTCGTGACCTTTTTTCACAGAATCACAGGATGGTTGAGGTTGGAAGGGAYCYCTAGGGATCAAGTCCAACCCCACTGCTCCAGCAGGGACACCCAGAGCACGGGGCACCCGCTCCAKCCCGGCGCGKTGGGAAGGTCTCCAGAGCAGGAGCCTCCGCAGCCTCCCTGGGCAGCCTCAACCAGGGCTCGGGCACCCTCCCACCAAACAAGTTCTTCCCCACGGCCACATGGAGCTGCCCGGCCTCCAACCTGCACCCACTGYCCCTTGKCCTGCCCCTGGCCACCACCCACAAGAGCYTGGCCCCTTCCTGCCTCCATCCTCCCCTCGGSTGCTTGCACACACTGACCAGGTCCCCTCTCGGCCTCCTCTTCTCCAGCCTCAACAGGCCCCGCTCGCTCGCTCGGTCTTTCCTCGTACAAGAGATGCTCCAGGCCCTTCATCATCATCTTCATTGCTCTAAGAGCATCTTTCTGATGCACTTGGCCAGAAGTGGAAATCCTGGGAGGCGAAGAGACGTTCTCCCAACAGCAGAAGTCTCTGCGGCAGCACTACAGGCCACTGCCTTGGCCAAACATGTCTGAGACATCCTTAGAGGAGGACATGATGKCTCCTGGAGCCTTGTGGCCTCCAAAAGATTGCAAATTTCAAGGTAAAAATTAAAAAAGACTTTACCCATTGACTTGACTCATTCTCAAGCAGGAATGTGAGCTCTGCATCCTTGGCTGGCAACCTTAGCTCACGGAAGCTCTTAAAATGCTTTAAATCAAGTAATTGTTTCTATTTGCAACAATTATTTAATAATGAATCTAACAGTCACAATCATTAGTGACCAATTCTGATTTAATATCTGTAATAGCTTCATCTTTCATTTGATTTTTTAACCAAAATCGGCCACCCACCAAGTCTACCAGCAGGTCTTGGGTGGTTCGTGTTTACTCTGGGCTGTTCTTCTGCCTGAGCTGATGCGTTATAGAGATGAAAGGAAAACACCCCAAGTTAAAAACACAAACAATAACCGTGTTATCTATTTATCACACCCTCATCCCTGCTCTCCATGGAAGAAGGCAGAGTTTTGTTTATTTACTGCTCCAGGCTTAATGAAGGAAAGTGGTTAGACCTACAGCTCGGCCAAGATGAAGATCACCAACGGCTTTGGAGTTCACTGATGGAGGAGACATTAAGCAAGAGCTCATCTACAGCCCATAAACATGAAGGGCCCAAGTGTCTGGCAGATGCTTATAAAAGTGTTGGGGGAAAGATGGAAAGCAGAAGTCTGCCCAAGTTGAGCTAATGCCAGCCCTTATCTAAGCAACCTCCCCTCATCAGTTTTGATGGGCGGTCAATGGATGTTCAGGCAAGGATGGCCGAGCAGACCATGCGCACAACTCACCTTTCAATGATTATTTGCCATAAAACATGTTTTGGGATGGAAAACGATGCCAAAAAATCAGCCCTGTGGGGAAAAAAGAAACCCCAGCCAACGTGGCACATGCCCAATTTGGATCCAGAGGCTCCAACTGGCATCCAGCCTTGGAAAAGGGAGTCTAGTGGTATCTCCACCAGCTTTAGAGCACTAACTTGCAACACAGAGAATCACATTCACATGGTGCCCAAGGTTGGAAAACCAGGTAGGACAGAAGCACGGGGCGATTTCTTTAAGTAGGACAATGGGCGTTTCTGCAAATATTAGTGTGGAGTTGCTTAATTTATATGCTAACCATCCTGCACGGAGGTAAATTAAGAGATTAGGGGGCTGCCAGGGTGCGACAAAGGGGAAATGAAACCCCGGCAGGAGATAAGAGGTCTCAAAGGAGAACGCCAAGGAGGAGAAAAGGGCGGCCAAGGGATCCAGCAAGATGAGCCCACCTGCATCGCCACGGGCTTGATTTTCCCCAGCACCCTTTGGCAAACATTAAAAATCCCCAAATAGAGAAAGCAGTTGAGGAAATGCAGGAGAAAACACAAGTGGAGGCGTGGAGGATCGAGTCTATCCCAAGCTATGGAGCAAATGGAGTTTATCCCAATCCCGCAGGTGGGAAATGAGGTGTTTATAAAATTAGATTCCAATCTAACTGCAAACCTTTATTAACCTATTTCTCCTCTGAATCCATACTGGTTTGATTATGATTCTTCATACTGGCAAAATTTACRGGTGATTATTTGCAGGGTGCTTTCAAGGTGGCTTATCCACCTGTCCCCATATAGAGCCACGCTCAGCTTTTAGACTATATAGGGCTGTACAGAACATATATTGAGCATAAAGAGTTCTTCTACAGAGTGTTTCTTCCAGCCAACTTTAGGACCATCTTTCATCATCAGTTCCAAAACATTTCCCTGTCTTTTCCTGCCCCTTCATGCTGCCAAATCCCTTCCTCTGCTRAATGCCCATTAATGAACAAATATTCCTTGTTATTATCAGCAAACGAGACAACCCAGTCTTCTAGAAACTTCCTTTCCCACTCTTTGCACCAGGCTGGTCAGGCTTGTCAAGAAACACTTGGAAATATTTAAGTGGGATCCGAGAATACTGCAGGATAACTCAGAAAAAAATGATTATTAAAACATTGGACTTGCAGGCAAAAAATCTCAATTAATTTGATTTTTGCCACGTTCCGGGCAGAATAACTAAGTGTCTGCAGCTCTGCTGATGTCCTTCTCAACAAGATATTGGCCTCCCTCTAGCTCGCCTCAGCTTGCCAAGCAAGCTCAAAATTCATYATCCATGGACGTCCACAGGGTCGTTTTTTCAGGCGATTCTCCAATCTGTCCAGCCGGAAGGTCTAAGAGCTCATCCAGGTTGCACACGGAGAGGACAATCTGCCTGCTTGGCATGATGCTCCCCAACACACGTTCATCAGGCGAAGGCCTCGATGGCAGCGAGTGTCATTTTACAATTGAACCTTGCTGTTGGTCACCTTATTCTGCTCCACTATTTATTTATTTTTGGGGTGAAGCAGAGGGAAATAGATTTTATCATCTTTTTTATAAGCAGAGAATAACAGCACCTAGATCACCCACAGGAAGACCCCGCGCCAAGAACAGAACCAAGAATCCCCCGATGGTTGAAATATCAATGTCATTATTTAAGATGTAGCACAACCACAAGCTGCATCCAATGAACAGACCTGGTACCACAAATCTAATAAATATTCACAGCTGAATATAAGGGGAAGGGGGGAAAAGCCCCCAAGTTATGATTACAAATGGGCCCGAGCAATGTTTGGCTTCCAAACTAATCAAATGAGGTAAACAGCAGCATAATGAGTCTTAATCAAATCTAATCTGGTGCAAACACTCTCTTGACAGTTGTAGATGTCCTAATTATGAGGCAGAAGGCCTCCCCCTATAATTAGCTGGAAAAAAGGAGTAATTATTGCGGAGGCCCCAAGATCTGCRTAGAACACAGACCTTAAGAGCAAATGGGAAATCTCCCATTATCATGAAATATTTCAGCCCTCACATCAATACTAGTCCTTGATGATCCTTGTCCTAGGCAATCAGAGCATTAGGAGARATGGAGTCTATCAAACTGCCCAAACTAGAAGCTATAAAATGCTATAAAAAGTTATAAAATGCAAGCTTCCTTATTGTTGTCACAGCAATATAAGAAAACAGCCTCCTCCCTCCAAAAATAATTAAAATCTCCCAACTTTTCATACTTAAGAACAACCAAGAAAGTGCAGCTATCGATTACAGTCACCGTTCGTTGTCTTCAGATACTGATTTTACAGAAGCAACCTCATGTCAGCCCTATTTTCCTCCACACTGTAATCAAGAAATCTGCTCATGTGAAAGCCAGCCAGGGAACACACCTTCTATYACTGAGGGGGACACAAGAATTAATCAGCTGAGTTGTGAATGTGCCAACCTAGGGTTTTATTTTCATGCCCTGCATCATCACGTGGAGGAGAAACTCACTGGTAACCAGGGTCCATTGATGAGCAAAACTGCTTTGTCACAGGACAGGCAAGATTTGAACTTCATGTGCCCTTGTGATGTCTTCTCTTCCAGAAATGAAGGAAGAGGAGGAAGAGAGCAGATGTGCTAAGGGAAAAGCTCCACATCTGCTGCAGTTACAAGCTAAGTGCATCGATCCCCTTCCAATAATGCAGCTTCCTTTTCTAAAAGTCACCTAGGTGTTCCCACTGGAAGCTTCTGGCCAAGGCTCCTGCTGTTCTAGTCGCAGGCATCAGCGCCCTGGCAATGTTCTGCAGATGCAAAGCTTGACTTTGRGCAAGGTGCTAATGAACTGAGCTTAGCAGCAAAGCGCTGCAGGCGGCTTGCCCAGGATTTAGCTGTGCAACGTGTCAAGCAACCTTATAATAGCACAACTGCAGTAGCAACTAAGAGCTGCGAATGTAAAACAAACAAGAGGAGCTCGTTTTTGGAGGAGTTTTCRCTGTGTTTGACTTGGTGAATTATGCAAATCTTTTTTTTTTTTTTTCCTTTGCAGGGTGTGAGACAATGATGAGGCCTGGAAACAAGCTTGATTCACACGAATCCCACCCAAAATAGCAGATTTTGTGCTTARAATACTCAAAATCATCCCAAATCGAGGAGCTACAGAACGCCTACCACGTTTCACTGGCAGACTTCCCATCCTACCTTAAAATGCTTTGGAAAGGTACTCCACGCTGAAGTTTTTTAAGGAATTCAGGGAGAAAACCCCACATTTCTCTCCCATTTTCCCCTAAAAACATAACTGATTCTCCTCTCTTAACTAATCCTATCACTTAACTGTCACTTTTGCTTCTTCTTTGGCAACCACAAATTTCTTTCTCTCGCTTGGCCATCACTAATACGAAGGAATTTGGCAAATGTTTGGCTTTTTCCTCCTGAAAAGAATTACTACTGCATTACAAAATAAAAAAACTCATATTCAAAGCTGGCACAGTGTATTTTTCTGCTGATAATATACGTGGCAAAACCTCTTTGCTAATTAATGGCCTTGAAATGACTTTAGCAATGGCACTTAAAGACATAGGGACTGACATGGACTGAAGCTAAAAGGCCATTCCTAAATAAAAGCTAAAAACCTTCCTGCCCTCATGTGGTTGGCTTTCTTAAAAAATATTCTATACTACAAATATGCAGCAACATACAAAGGTCACAAAGTGGTTTACATACCTACCATTCATTTTTTTTTTCCTAATTTTTTTTGAAATATAGGATAGAAAACAGCCATCAAAAGAGGAGGAAGAAAAAAGTCAGGGGTGCTGAGACTAGATCTAGCCTAAACTCAAGCACTTGGCTTATTCTTCTGTTGCAAAACCAGCACATSTGTCAAATACTCTTTTAACTACAATATGTTAACAACAAGACACCAGCTAGCACTGAAAAAATAGGGAAATCGGACTCAGTTTTCTACCAAATACTGGAAAACACCTCCAACAATATTCAAAGAAAAACAAAATCTTATTTTCTGCCACTTCTGAAGACTGTTTGGTATTCAGGGACACGTGGACATTACTCTGAGCCCATTTCTTGTTAGCTCTGTGACTCGCATGCTATTTTATTTTCTTCTTCATATTTTTATGAATCACTTTCCTGGTAGGGCACCTCCCTCCCCGCATTCTTCCTGACAAAGCCCTATCCATCCCTCAACCTTTGGAAAAGACCATTTCCTTTTACAACACCCAACAACATTTAACTCTTATCTGGCAGCGGATTTATTTATTTATGCATTTGCACTTTCCACTTTGGGAAAGTGCAAATTCTACTTCTCAGTTCTCAGTTGATTTTCTCAGTTAAGACTGAGAATTCTGCTTTTCAGCTAATTTTCTGTGAACATGGCCAATTAGAAGGCCTTTTGTCTCAAACCTGTTATTCCTACCTTTCTAAGACCTGCAGACAGTTAAGGTCTAGAAGGGATCTCACCTTTCACACTATTTTTATGCAAGAACCATCTCTTCCTCCTCCGGATTTTCTTTCTTTCTGCTGCTGCTTTTGTTTTTCTTTCCCACATTCTCTGGCCTTGAGTGTTTAATCATTGACTACAGCACCTTASAGCACAGCTGGCTTGAAACAGTTACTTTGAGCAAAACAGTGGCACATTTAAAAATATCTTTAGTTAATAGATCATATTATGAATTTGTTTTAATGCTAACGTTTATTACCCCAGCAGGAGGAATATTTTTTCCTCTGGGTCTTCCAACCTCTCAAACTCCAAATCACATTCTTAATTACACCAGGTACTCTGAGTACCTACCAAGAGGAAAAGCACTTAACTGAAATAATTACATTTGCTCTTYGTTTTTAATTAAGCAGCCCACTCAGCTGAAAACTAATAGATTGGTTCCTGTTGTTTCCAATTGAGTTTTGAATCAYTGGCCATGAAAATAGTTAAGTTTTATCCACCTAACAATGGCAATCGAATAGGGGGCTAGTTTATCTTTACTCGAGTCTCTTTTTTAACCCCAAAGCGCTCTTATTACCCTCTGTAACCTTGGCAAAAGCACCACGAAGTAAAAGCACACAGAGATACAAAGATTACTTCAAAGGTTTTCTCATCTACATTACAAATTAATTTGGATATTAAAAAAAACCAAAAACACTCGAACAGAAGGCAGAGCACCATGTGGTAGTGGCTTCTAGAAGTCAAATACCTGGGTATAGAGATATAATCCTCATTTTCTGGTATCAATTCCTTCTGGCACAAGGAAACTACCAAACTGGAAATWGTTTTTTTTCCTCTCTACAACTTATGACAAAACCCCTAAAGCGTGTGAATTTTTGATCCTGACACAATAGAAGAAAGAGTAGCAAGTTTAATCACTCTTCATCAGGAAGATTATTTTAATATTGCTCTTCTAAGCTCTCAAGTCTTTCATTAGGCTGATTCGGTGATTTGAGAGGTACAAAATCAAGGGAAAAAAAATGACATCTTAAAATTCCCCACTGCTTTGATGCTAAAAGCTGACATTYCCCCTGACAAAATTCAGCAGCTGTAACACAGGTCCTGCTGCAGAAAGAAGCTGAACACACCAAAATGACTGGAGTCCTACCTCAGCCTTGCGAATACTCTCTCTGGCTTCATCTATTTTCTGCTCCAGTTCTGCACGGGTTTGCTCTGACATCACAGGCCCATGACACTCCAGCTCCTCGAGCGTCTGTCAAACATGAGAAAAAGACATCATAGGGTCAATATGTGCTCATAAACCATGTGTGTGCTCAATATTTGGGACCATTCCCTGATTAGATRCGGCCCTGATTAGATGCTGCGTTGACAAATGATGGTGTGTTCCAGGAGATGACTCAAGTTTCCATGAAGGAAATGCTTCACAGAAGGGTTGAGGTTGGCAGATCATCTAGTCCAGCTCCCTTCTCCAGCAGGAACACCCAGAGCACGGGGCACAGGGCGGCATCTAGGTGGGTTTTGAAGACCTCCAGAGAAGGAGACTCCAGAGCTTCCCTGGGCAGCCTGTGCCAGGACTCGGGCACCCTCCCACCAAACAAGTTCTTCCCCACGGCCACATGGAGCTRCCGGGCCTCCAACCTGCACCCACTGCCCCTTGTCCTGCCMCTGGCCACCACCGAGAAGAGTTTGACCCCATAAAGGACAACATTAAGGTGTGGTAAGTACGAAGACATGAGATCCTCTCTTGTTGCTGTAGAGTGACCCAGGTGCAACTGAATCCATGSAAGATGCCAAACCTATTTTGCTTTTGCTTCTCGTTTGATGCTTTCCCCAGGAGAGTTTGAGGGAYGCTTCAAATCTCTAATGATTAAAGCCACTTCTGGGACAAAACTACATTGAATACTACAAATCCTTATAGTTACTGCTGTATTGTTGGTGTATTTGTGTCATTAATATGATTTAAGTGTATATTACTCATGTGGACTTTCTGGAGTTAAAAATACCTTCAAAGTTCAAAATAAATATATCATTTTCTACAACTAATACATACATGATATAGGGGAGATAAGAGACTTGCTGAAGCTTTAGTATGGACACAAGTCCACAGCGTAGAATGGAGATGGGTCTGTAAATTAACAGCAATAAAAAAGAAGCAGTAACTCCACATTTACATGGGAATAACAGAATATACCGACGAGTCAATGATTTTTAGAGGTTGCTRAAGTGGCTTTTAGAGTGTGTCCCACCAAAGAAAGAAAGATAAATCAGGCAGGTGCCCTGCTRAGAAAATAGGCCAAAAAAAATCACTGCTCGGTGCTTCCGGCGGCTCTTATTTGGTGCGGTGGGGGGCTGCAACRAATCCAACCAGCAAACTGGTGTTTTTCGAACCTACCCGCTGATTGTGGACAATGTTCTTGTGTTCACGGGCGACGCGGGTAGCCCATTTCCGCGCCTCCTTGTTGAGGCTGTGCTCTTCGGTTGTTCCCGTTTCCGATTCCAGCTGGCGACTCTGGAAGAGAACGTGACAGGGGAGTGAGTTACAACGCAGGCCCGGGGCTACCTCTGTGGATAAGAGAATATCTAGCTGTTTGGTGGCTCTACCTTGTATTTATGAGGCTGGAATCTTGTCTCGTGCAAAACAAGAGTTTCAACAAATACAACGCTCTGCCTTATGAACTTCGTCCCGATATCGGGATATGGAAGAGCAGCTTTGAAGGCAACTCAAAGTTCAGGAGAACTTGTGCTGCCTCGGGGAAGTCAGCCTTGCTGTGGGACCGAAGGCCAAAGGCAAGGAAACAATTCCCGACRAGTGGAACTCAAATATGATTGCACCAAGGCTCTTCAAAGAGAGGAAGAATGATGAGTCAAGGACTCACCTTGAATCTGGGATAAACAGTCACTATGGGAAGCAAAGACAGCAGCTTAGGTGCAATRCAAGGAGCCACTGAGGCTCATCCATCTCATTTTTCATCAATTTGTCACACCATCCATTTTTTTAGAACAACACGGCCTTTTCTCTGTCCCCAAAATAATTCCATCTGCAAAACACGCAACTTCACAGCACACCTTCTGATACTGCTCCATATTATGCCTGCTTCTATTGCACTTTAGTAAATAAATAATAAATCCTCTCCCTCCGGGGACGCTGAAGCGAGATGCCCAAGTCCTCTATTTTCTACATATTGAACAGCACTGATCTGGAAAACTGAAGACAGACTCTCCAGTATTTAAAGACTGAAACCACTCCCTCCCTTTCTATACTTCGAGTGTCACAGCAAACTACCCTGTGCCCTTATAAATATTATATAAATATATGTATATGTGTCTGTGTGTAGACCAGGCCACACAAACCTCACCAACAAGACCCTTCTCTCAAGCTACTAAACCTGACTTGTCCATAGCCACACTATGAAGTCTATCCATAGAGTCCATCGTCTATCCCTGGTTCTCTCCATGCTGAAAGGACCTTGGCAAAAACTTTGGGAGCAGCTGAAAAAAATCCCCTCAGAAATTATGGCTCAAGGAGAGACCGGATGCTCAGTGCTCCTCAAAACACACAGATGTTGCTATGAGAACCTGAGAAAATGTCTGTGGCAAATGCTCTTCAGGATGGAAGAGCTCAAGGTTGGTCATCACGAAGCAGATCACAGAGGAGAAAAAGGACTTCTTTTCAGTGCAGATGAGGAGAAGCTTCAAACTGATGCAGAAGATGAGGTTTAATGAGGGTATGACTGGTGTCCAGGCAGGTAGACACTGTAGTGATGCGAAGAAGTGATGTGGGGAAGCAAAGTCAAGTGATAAAGGCCTTAAATAAAGACCAAGTCTGACCTCAGGTTTCCCAAGACTTAAGGCAGTAAATGTTGTTGTACAACCAACGCTTCCATAGCTTTTGAGTGACTCTTCAGGGTCACAAGTCTGCACAAATGACTCAACCTTGGCTCTCCCCCATAAAACACACTGAGTTTCCACCGTTCCCACTAGTGTTGCTCTCCTGAGCATCTCATTTCCATTACAGAATCACACAATAGTTGAGGTTGGAAGGACCAACCAGACTCCGTTTCAATTGCCTGATAACATTTTGTGTTATCCCACGTGTGCTTTTGGTTTTTAATCTATTTATTAAAAATGTTTGATTGGGAAAATGAATGTAAACCTCACGGCTATTTCTAAAGGTGTGCTAAAATAAATAAATAAATGGTTATTAGATATGTTTTATTAGTTATTAATAAAGCAGTACTGTATCTACGCAGACCTCATCCTTGTTTTAAGGTCTATAGAATAAATAACATTAAATGGGTTAACAGAAAGTGTGAAGGTTGATAACCCACAAAGGAGCAGGGAGCTTGGTGGAGATGCTCAAACGTGTGGCTGGGAAGACACCACAAGGAGAAAGGTCTTGAGCTCACTGGGACCTTGATCCCCCTTGGATCAAGGGAAACTGTAGAGATGGACCTCACCTGGCCTGCAGGAGACCAGGCTGCTGGCACTTGACATCAAGAAGGCTGCGAATTAATCCAAAAGCAGAGGGACGGGAGATGACCTGTGGTGAGGAGCCCATCCTTCAAGAGGGCTTTAAAGAGGGTGCAAGAAGTCCAGATCCCCATGTAAAGGACAGGTGAGAGGGGCACATCAAACAGGAAAGGAGAAACTCGCTTAAAGGTAGAGGAGCCAAGGCAGTGACTTATCTGCTGTAGGCACCAAAGCCAAAAGTTGGGGAACCAGTGTCTGATCCTAAGCTGATGCATGAGGCATTAATGTACTTAGTATTGATTTCTTTTTAGTTAAAACCTGGTGGAAGACAGACAAAACAAAGGGTGTTGCAATACAAGGGCGTAAAAAAGAGAAGAAACAGGAAAGCACAAGAATTGGAGGATCTCCATGGATGGAGATCCTAGGTCTAAAGGGGAAGGGGGCAGTTCTGGGTGTCCACAACCCACTGCCAAGGTGAGATGGTGATAATGTCTGCTGTCCTACCCATCTTCTATAACCTTCACAGTTCTCCTGCAAAGCTACATGTTAAGAACTAGTTTTAGGGAAGGGAACTTTAGGGAGCGACAAAGTCTCTAATTCGAATGAATCTCTTCCCAAAAGGAGGAAAACAAATCCAYGTATCATGGCCGAGGAATGAAGACTGAGCCAAACTACCTGAGCTCAAYGGAGAGCTTCATGTCCTCTCCAAGCTCAGATTACTTCTTTTTTTAAAAAAGAATTGGCTCTRGAGCCTAAAAGCAGTGTTATTTTTTTCTAGTATAAGACCCAAAAAAATGTTCATTTCAACAAAGGATAAAAGTAGTAAATGTTTTTTGCATGCAAACCACTAACATGAAACACACCTCAAAAACACAGCCAGCCCTTCTAAAAAAGCTCAAAACAAGAGGTTCCCAAGCCAAGGCAGTGACCTCACRAGCAGCACTTTGGGGACGGAGGACAGGATATGCATGACTTTTTTTTCACACAACCATAGCTAAAACCACCAGTTTTAAGGAAAACGTTAGATTTTTGTAGTCAAATTTTGTACTTTTTTTTTCTATTACAGTTGAACTCATTTCATTTTAGTTGCACCAGGAGTGAGCTCTGACTGCCTCACACTTCAGGCCTCATCCTTTATCTTCTAAAAACCCTAAAATACTCCCTTACTCTCARGCTATATGAACCTGCAGGGCAGGTGCAGAAGGAAAAGGAACTTCCCATGGGCAGGAGGTGAAGAAAATAACTGCATTTAACAAAACAACATTTTTGTGSATTTAACAACACAAACAAACCAAAAAACGATGATTCCGGGCTATCTGAAAGAGAGAAAAAAAAGGGGGGTCTGGGCCCTTCCTGCATCATCTGGACTGAAAAATATTCCTTGCTTAAGACTTAAGTGACTATGTTGTGTTGGGTTTCAGTGTTTAATAAAGCTGGTCTTTGATGTTCATAGAGCCTTGCTTTTTATTTTTCGTATTTAGCAGGTTTTGCTTCAGGTTAGAGAAAAAGAAGCGCAAATCTTTGTTTTCCTGTCTCATCTTTTACTCTAAAAGYGTCTCATCTTCTCCTGGAAATGAGTTCCATCATCATTTCCACGCAGAGCTGCTCCAGGACCCGCACCCTGCTCTGCTAGGGCAAGAAACACACAAGAAACGTGAGAAAAACGGTGTCTATCAGCGAGTAAAGGAAAAGGACATTTTGAATCAACCTTGATGGAGCCTAATCTGACTTCCCGGATGGTCTCTAAGCATCTGCTTTGCTCACAGAGCTTATTTACGTAGCAATTATTTTTCTCCACCAGCTTTTATTCCATGGACGTTTATTTATTTAAACACTGAGAGTAGGCATCAAATATTTACGTTCAATAATTCCAAGGGACAAAATAAACAGTGATAAAATGCASTTTAAAGGATTTTAAATATTAAGTATTTTAAGTATTTTTGAAGTATTTTAAAATATTTAAATCTATGTAAGATTAAATAAGTTTTAAGGGYATTTTAAAAGTCACACGTTGCAGCTATACGCAAGCACAGAAACCCAGGAAAACTAAAGTGTCATGAATTAAAGGGCATAAAGTTGGACCTCTCATTGCTTCTGATATAGGAATTTCAACCTACTTTTGGGAGGTGACTTTAGGCAACGTGTTGGGAATCTTCATTGCAGGCAACACACGGATGGAAAACAGGAAAGAGCCGGAGCTCCAAGTATCCGCTGCTGCCCTCCAGCTCCATGGAGGTGATTTTTTGCCACTATTCTCATTTTTTTTTTTCTGGGATAACATGCAATTCAAGGAAAAGAATCTTTTCCAAACAGGAAATATAGAAAAGCTGCCTAATTTCCTTTTTTTTTTTTGGGCCACGTTCTTATAGATAGGCTTATCTAGGAAGCACGGGGACAGTGTGTTTTCAATGCAGCAGATTTCTGCAGCCTTAATAAATGGCACTTTTAGGATTAAACTGTCACTATGCCAAATATAAAGGTCTCTGCGTGTGCTCAGTATGAGCAGGATCTTTCTTCTTGTAAGGCTAAAAGGACGCCCAAAATACTCTTTTTTTTTTGTAATCCTGCTCTTCACAAAGGCCCAATCCATCTTCTGAATTCATTCATGGAAAGGATTAGAGCTGGTTRGGAATATTTAAGTTATTCCTTGGCTAAGCTTTTATTTTAGATGTGTTTTGTGGAGGGGGTTATTATTGTCATGATTATTGTGAGTTTATTTTAATCAAAATCAATGTAAAATGTTGAAGCAATTTCACTCTTTTAGGAACACCAGCAAATGTTCAYGTCAAACAATTTCATAGATAATGGGAAAAAAATGGCTAATTGCTGTCACACATTTCTTAATGAATTTCTCTTTATGGGAGTTCCATGAGTCTGYGTTTTGACCAGGATTAGTGTGATAGTGGTGGGGAAACATAAAAATGTTGAATATCTGATTTGCTACCTACTTATCTTAGAAAACTGTTTTCCAGAGGCCTGGAACGTGCGTGTCCAGGGGATTTTGCAACTGCATCAAGCTCTCTTGGGTGCACGATGGCACTTTGGATGGCAGGATTGCACAGCAATCCCTTCCACATCCCTCAGAGCTCTCTACAGCTCTCCGAAGCCCAAGAGCTTCCCATTCTTAAAACCCATAACTCAAAAAAATTTAAGATATTGGGTGAATAAGATACTGTGTTTAGCATCATTCACGTGAAACTAGATTTTACAGAAACATTTGTAGCTTCTCCTGTYGATCCAAGTTCTGAATCCACGTGGTTTATAGCATCTTCCTGCAAGCAAAGCTTCAAACTTGCTTCTTTTTCATTACAGAAATGCTGAAACACTCCAAATTTTGGGCCCAGCCACACTTAGGAAGTATTGAATTGGAGGTCATAATTTGTTCTAAGAAGGTTTTCATACTAAATGATTATTTGATTTGACAGATAAATCACTTGGCTTGCTTTTCTTCAATGTTTTCAGTGTGAAAACAAACGTTCATGCATATCCCACCTACCTGAAAAGCCRCCTGGTAATTTATTACAGCTCGTCTACAAAGCAAATGTGTGGCAAAAGAATGCTTGATAGCTGATATTAAATGCAAGAGGTGCAATTAGTTAGAAAACGGAGCATTTCTGCCAAATTGCAAAGCCAAATCCTGAAGAAAAATGCTTTCTATGGGAGAAGTGTAGCCCTGATTTCCCAAGCAGGATCCCKTTGGATAGGAATTGTTATGTGGGTCACAAGGAAGCTTGTGGGGCTCGTGTTTTTTGGGACAACTGTGCAAGCAGCTAGAAGCTCCAAAAAAAAGCAGAGTAATTGAAAAATAGAGTAAATCCAACATCCACGTGGGCTGGTTGGTGAAGATCATGAGGTGCTGGGACATCTATAGATGTGAAGCACCTTCTGTCTCCCAAAAAGACCACCCGAGTGCCATGCAAAGAATCCTCCAAATTTTCAACATTAAAAAGATTGTAAAAAGAGAGGATTACAGATCTGTTGCCCTCCAGAAAAAGAGGAAGAAACCAGAATTCAATTAGCGATGGGGCTTCACTTTTTCAGTGCATATTAACAGCCTCTGGTTGTTAGAGAAGCTTCCTCGTACGCCCATCGCTATGTTGAGCTGTGAAATTTTGATTCACACCCCCAAAAAAGATTAGAATATTAATTACAAGYGCCGGGTTCTTGCTTTATGCTCTTGTTTTATGCTACCTTAAGGCTCGTTATGGATAAAGGGTTGGGTTTTTTTGGATGTTCAGGTTTTTAACGGCTATATGTTCTGCATTCTGTTGCCACCTCTGCGCCGCCGTCCCATGCACGCCGGGAACATCAGCCCCATAAGGCTCATGGTAAAGGCAACCATATACCTCTGCTATAGTCATTCTCATAGCACTGACTGGAGAGGGCTCAATATCCACCAGCTGCACCGCGTTAAAACTCTGGAGACGGCCCCAAGACGAGAACACAGAGCAGGGGTTAGAAACACAACAGAGATGGTTAGAAAAGCTCTGCCCGCCGCAGGACACACAACCTAAAAACACACGTAATTATTTGCTTTAGATAAAGCTGGAAGAAACCTTAGAATCACATTTGGCTTAGTAGGAAAGGCAGGGGAAAGTGTGGCGTAGCTGTTAGGCAAAATCACTGCAGACCCATTAGGTTTCCAGTGAAAGGGCTGCTGCAATTAATCACTCAAGCTGCACGCTGAGACATTTCCACCCGTGTCGRTTTATTAAATATGAATTCAAGTAATAAAAAGCGGCACAGGGTTAATTTCTTTAAAGCTAGACGGGTTTTAAATCGGTATTTTTTTAAGAACAGTGCTAGCAGCGTTGGTGGGACATCAATCACTGGGTTTAAAGAGCTGTTAGGAAATGTATTTGCACCCTCTGATTTCCTTCAGTTCATTAATATTTGCAAGTAATTCACGTCCCGGAATAGCATTTTCAGAGATTTCATCTTGGAAAGCAGCATTATARCTGTGTTCTTCCTAAATCAGAAAGAGGACTGTATCCATAGGTATCCAGAGCCCCTCCTTGGGTAAATTACAGGAAAATGGGCCTTTTATTTGGCGTATCATCCTTCAATTTGTAAGCTGCTTTTCTTCTCCAAAACCCCAGCCTGAGGCTAACACACGCCGGGACACCAGAGAATACTATTTTTGTACCCAGCTATAATATAAGGGAATTGTTGGAAAGGGAGCGAGTGGGAATGAAGCAGAGCACTGAGCAAGGGCCTTACGGTGTCGCTGTCGCAGGGCTGGAACTGGAAGGGCTGGGGCTTGTGAAACACGGCGTTTTCTTGCAGGAAGAGCTGCAGGTTGTAATCCCGCACCACCTGCAAAGAGAGGCAAGGGAGTCATGCTGCAAACTTCAAACCATTACACACAGGCTAAAAACAGTGCAAGAGGAGGCCGGAACTGTGGCATGACCTGAGAAGGCACCAAAATCCCATTTCTTCAGCTTTGTCCCCAAAGGAAATGCAGATCCAAGCCCTGAGCAACAGCACCCCCAGTTATTCCTAGTTATTCACAGTGACAGCCAAGTTATTCACCCAATACAGATCTACCACTAACCAACCCACAAAACAGCACAACAGCAAAACACAGGAAATAAGAACACCCAAATATATAGGTATGCTGTAGGGAGTGTCACTCCCATGAACATTTTCCCAAATTTTCGTGGATAACTTCTTGTATAGAGTTATTTCTTAAATATCCCAAACATGATTTGGAATAAAGCAGGTAAAAAGCAGTTAAAAATGCATCTCTCTGTATTGTGTTGAGTTACTGAAATACTGAATTGCAAAAAACAGCCCCACTTCCACWAAAAAAAAAAAAAAAAWAATAACCATCATTATCATCATCTCCAGGATTTTTTTCCATTTTCTTCTTTTAAAAGGACTCAGAAAAGGTCCAAAATTCCCCAGCAGCTATTCTATAATGCCTGCATTGTATAGCTGTGTATGGATAGACAATTTGGCATAGGATTTGATGCCAGACAGGAATTACACACCTAAGAAAACGTGAATGTGAAGGACTAAGTGAAAGCAGGGGACAACAGACCCACCTTCACCTCGTCCACAGCTCTGCCAGGTCAAATATATATTTAAGCCAATTTCAAGTTAAAAAAGAGGGTAAAAACCCATGTAATTACCAAAGAGAGGACACAGCTTATACTAGAATAATTCACACAAAGATGATTTTGCAGTTATTTTAACAAAACACACTTTCGCAGTGGAAATCTAACTCATAAGCAACTCATTTTGTTTCCAAGAAAAATCCTCTTAACGAGAACACCCGTGAGAAATTTTCCTTGAAAAGCAAAAGATTTAGTTAGAAATAAGGGCAGCTCTCACAGCATCGTGTAAGGGCAGCAGATAAATACCCTGTAGTGTCTGCATTGCTTTTTCAGTTGGTATTAGAGAGGAAATAAAAGCAACTTTCAAGCAACACAATATGCTCAAACAGCTACTTTCGCAAGGAAATTCCCAGTTATTGAGGAATTCAATGTTATTGTGAATTTCCCCAAGAACTGCATCAATCAGTCCATAAACAGCAACCAATATGTACTTGACACCAGATATTTAGTAAATCTCAAGAGCTTTGTCTGCATTTTTGCTTCCTCTCCAGGCATCCTCCTAATTCAAGCAGAAGTGGAGATGTTTCCTGCAAACCTCCAGCGTGAAGTCGTTGCTGTAGACAATGCACTTATATATAAGCGTGCCCATATACACAACCAAAGCACTTCCATGCAGATRAGCCATGTGGAAAATGACATTTTTAGCTCACTAACTAACCAGAGAGCTAAATAACTTCATGATCCTTCAGCTTTGGCATCATTTTAGAAGCTRACCTTAAATTTGAGGACTTACCTATGGGGCATGGATGCAATCAAAAAGGATGGTTCCAGGGAAAACTTACCCTGCTGGAAGTCTCCAGGAGAAACTGGAAGGTGTTTTGCACAGCTTGACACGTCTCTAGTTCCGTTCTGCTGAACGCCATTAAATAATCCTTAAGGTGATCATATATGTTTCCATCCAGGGCCTAGAAGAAGCAGGAAAGAAGTAAGGAAAAGCAGTAAGTTCTTTGCAATTTGCTCTATTTGTAGCCACTTATGGATCCTTTAAGATGCTCATATTCAGTGTTTTTAAAGCCTGTTCACCTCCAACTGCTGGAATTGGTGATGGATGGCCCAGTTCCACATTGGATATAAGAAGAAAGGGCTTTATTTCCATTAGATGGCATCACTGAGCACCTCAACCATATCACCTGATCAAACAATATCACCTTATCAAACCATTTCCATCCACTTGGGAAAATATCCATAGGTGAACATCAAAGGTGGGTTCAGACCTGGGAATTACCTTAGGGATATCTTAGTTCTGGAGAGAAAGGGATGGAGGAATCCGAAGGATACATGGCTTCTTCCAGCCAGAATGCTTCCAAATTAACTGACATAACCTTGGCCCTTAATATCAGTATTAATATTTTGAGTCCACCTCATTTGCTTATTAACCAATGCTAGTCAATATAGAGGGTTTAGTGTAAGCCCTCTGCTAATTTGCAAGTGAGTGGTACCTAATTTCATTTATATTTTATGAGYTGATGCAGTAAATACTAAACTACTAAGTGTCTAAAAGTAGTTTGTAAACTACTGGATGTCCCTGATGGGGCTTGAAAAGCCCCTTCAAAATCTCCCATCATGAAGAGGAAGTGGAAAAAGGAAAAGARAAGCACAAAATCATCCAAATCCTAATGCACGTTACTGCATTATAGGAGCATCCATTCCCTTCCTGCACTCTGTTCCAAACAGCCTGAAGAAACCTGCCTGTCAAAGCACCTTCGCCAATGCAAAAAAGGAAAATGAGATTAAAAGAAAACCTGTCATCTTAARAGCTTTAGATTAAATTAAATGACACCGCGTTCCATTGTGCAAGAATGGGGACAAAAAATGCTTTTATAGGATCGTTTCTTTTCGGTGATTCCATTACTAAAAGGGAAAAATTCCTCTGTGCGAGTCACTGTGAGATCGGGTAGCAGCACAAATTAGGATGAAGAGAAACTGAAATTGTTAGTAAAAAACATGGATCAACCATCAAATAAAACGAATTTTTTATCAAAAAATTACTATATRGTCCATTCAGGATGTAGGGGAGATTTTTTAAGTACAGGGTAACACACRTTTTACAAGCAACAAAAATTTCTCAGCTCCAATTTAGCTCACAGCTTGGAGGATGCTGATGCTTTTTCATTCGAGGCACTATATAAAACCCTTGGGGAACTTTTGGGTTTGAACAAGTCTGCACCCTCCACAGTGCTCCTCAAAGCCATAAAAATAGAAATATTAATACAAAAATATAAAAAAAATCAAAAATAATGTTATACTTCCAAAATTCGTGGCGCATTTGGTGGTTTTCTGTAYGCTGGTCTCTGGTTAAGATATAACATATTGGGCCAAAAAGAGYAAGGGTTGAACATACAGTAGCTAGCTTGGAGGTCTTCCTCACTGTAACATCACTGGTCTCCTGCTAGGTTCCTTAAAAAGATTGCCATTTACACACTAAAATACGTGCCAAAAACCATTATTGGACCCTCTGCATTCCTGCAAGGGGATGAAGAACACGCTAAAACTCTGCAATTTTTATTTTAAAAGAATTATTCCTTTTAACAGGGTGAAACACAAATCCAAGCGATTTGACTCATGCATAAGGCAGAGAACAAAACCAGACCTGCCCCTGGTCCCTCCCTGGTGGCCGCTGCAAATGAGGAGATAAAGGAAAGTTTTAAATGAATTCAGCCAAAAAGAAATATATATACATATATATACATATATATTGTGTTTGGCCAGCGATACCTTTCCATGATAGTGCTGAACTCAATGGCATTACATCACGTTGCTCTGACTTATTTTCCTGTTTAGCAATGAAAGCAAAAGCCCAAAATAACAGGGAGATTCATATCGTCGTTGCCTCCTTCTTTCTATTTTTGGTGGACTATTAAAAGCTATTTCTAAATTCTTACCCCACCCTGTTTTCATTCACATGAGAAACCTTAGTTTCTCTTTCCTTGACTTTTTAAAAATAAACTGTGATTTGTTGAGAACACATCCTGTATTTTTCCTACCATATTTTCCATAACTCATCAACTTCTTCTAACTTATCATTAAAAATAATAATTAAAAAAACACAAAGAAATACAATATGAATTGCATAAGATGCATGCTGAAAAAAGGAGGATTTTTTGAGTGTTCTCCTTAAAAAATGTGCTCATAATCCATCACACAGTGTGGTTTAAATATGGGAATTTTGAGTTGAATGATTGTGAGTAACTGAGGCTCAAAATGTATTAAGCTGCATATGGAATTGAGAAGCTTGTGATCAAGGCTGCATAGGGTGAGGAAAAGTTGAGATACACACAGAAATAGCTAGATATTAATAGCAATTATTACTGTTAATTAAGAGAACAGTTTGAGCATCCTATGTGCTCTGCATGCATTCGCCAAGGATGTTTTGGGGGGAAAAAGAAAGAAAGGAAGGTCGGGAAAACCCATCTTTTTCTGGGTAACAATTACATTCCTGGGTGATTTGCTCTTAAAAATACTGACTGCTCTTCTGGGTAGGGATTTATTCCAGGCCTTCATCTTCATCCAGGCCATCATCTTCAGCTCACTGAGAACCCGTAAAGCTTGAGCAGAAAAGCAGAGGCGACATCAAGAACATTTTTTCTTTGATTTCCCAATTAAAGCTGGGATTAATTGCTTTACGTCCCGATCTTCCAACCTAACACTTCCATAGGATGCTTTTTACCCCGAACATAGGTGGAAAATYGCCTAAGTTCAGCGATGGCAACATCACATTATTAATAAAACCAGAGAAGACACTCGAATGCATTTAATCCCTTATCAAACATTTAAGATTTTTATCAAGGCGAAGCGACATGACTTGCAAGTTGGTGTGACAAAGTGACCTGCAGATCCCTAACCCAAAGCATGACAGGGGGTTGAGAACGATTAAGACCTTTTGCTCCAAAAAAAACTAGTTTTTTAAAATTTGGTGTTGCAYACCAAATATTTAAATGGCATGATAAAGAGAATAGAAATAAGACATATTGCATATGGCAAGTCCTGCTTTGCCCCAAAAGCTGAATACTTCAACRCTAGCCTTACCAAAACGCATGGAGCAAGGCAAAATTAGCTTTTTTAGCAATTTTTGCAATCCGTGTTCTTGAGGGAACGGCAGCGATCACAGAGCAACCCCGGCAATGAGCTCGGATGCTAAAGGCAAAGCAGGAGAGCCGCCCGCCCGAGGTACCGCAGCTGCATTGCAGCATAAAAGATTAAACCCGGCTTCCCAGGCGTCACTTGGGATTTCCACATGCCAATTAGACTTTATTGCTTTTAGCAGCCCATTCTGCTTTATTCATGGGGGAAGGAGGCGGGCGCTTTATGGGAGATGGAGAAAGATCATTTTCATTTGAAGGCAGCAATTAAGAAGAGCGTGAAGGGTTTTTCCCTTTTAAATGATTTTTTTTTCCCTGATATCACGGCTTAGCTGGGCAAAAAGGAACCTTTTAGGTGTCTGGGAAAAGCAGCTGACAGACAAAACCTGCGCTTCCTCCTCTTCTTCCTCCCTTGGCTGGTTCCAACTTGAGTTTTCTACCATTCCTGTAAGTTCTGGCCTTTTTCCACCTAGTTTGGATGTAATGGATGTAAATCCCAGGTACTCATTGAGCCATTAGTAGCGCTGATAAAAAAAACTGAGGAAAAAGTGTTTTCTTTTCCTTGTGCGCACTGCATTGCAGCGTGGCTTTGAGACAAGATGCTGAAAACAGGTAGTTTGGTGGCATTTGAAAGGGAAATCTCAATTCTGTGACATCTTAAAGCTCTCTCCAAACCCTAAATTCTGTCCCCATGCTGCACACTCCTCACAAGCGCAATGGCAAATAAATCTCTGGAAACAAATGGCCTTTCTAGAGCAAGTGCTCTGGTGAGGAATTGCCTCGTGGTTAAAACATGAGGGGAGGCAGTTGTTGGTCAGTGTGACTGTCACACGCTTTTCCAGCTGTAAAGGCAAGTCATGGTGATTCAGCCACCCTTTCTGCCTCTCGTTGGGCTGGAAATG